GAGCTGCATATCCCTGCCCTGCCTTTGGATGAGGGCGTCACTTGCATACCTATGGCAGTCGGTAAGCAGAAGGGCTGAGAGAGAGAGAGAGAGACCCGCTGTTTTCAATGTCATTCAGCTGTACATGTTTGAATCGGAATATATAAAGTCTCTGATCAGACTCAGATGATGAAGAGACTCCGAAAGAATAACACATATGAGAATGGACCAGGACGTTGTAACAGTCACTGTATAGATCTGCACTACATTTCCCAGACACCTCTTCACCACACACACCTGCAGTCACTCTCCTGACTCTCCTGACACCAGTAATGTAACGTATACTCACCTAAAAATACTAACCTCTTTGTCCATGTTCTGATGTTCCCAGAATTTGCTCCTTGATCCATGTTCATTCTTCTTCCTGAATCTTGTTTGCTGATGGCAGATCTGAAGAGAAAGACAAGTATCACTGGACTGCGTTAGTTGGATGTTGATTACTATGAAGAGGATCTGCTCACCTGGAATCCTTCCTTCAACGTATCCTCCTCGAATTCACCTCTGAAACACTGATACTTTGAACACTCACCTTTGAACTTGAAATAAAGATTTATGTTTATTCATAAATAAACGCATCACTCGCATCACTTGCGTTGCTTTCTCGCGTAGCTCGCGTTGACTATGTAACGGCCCTTACTGTTACTGGAGGTGTCGTTGGATCGCAAACAGTAGATGACGGTCCACACTTGAGGATTAACTTTGAAGCAAGACCTGCTTTCAGTTGACCCTCGTTCACAAAACAGTCAGTCAGAAAATGATTCGCTCAAACATAAACTTATTTACGAAGGAAAGGCGCCACTTAAACTTCCAAAACATGAAACAATGCAATCCGCACACACAGAGTGCATTACGCCCGCACTCGGCCATCAGATCTAGTCCCGCGCCGCGGTCTAGTGCGTTGGGACTCAGGAGTGCACGTCTCTAGATCAAAGAATCTAAGCTTTAATGATCATTTTAACTATGTCTGAATTTCCACCACGTCTGTTCTTGAATCAACTGTTGAAATGTAGATTAGGCTTCTGCCGGCGGTGTGTCTCCCTCCATGCAATTTACTAGTGTTGCCATAGGGACGCTTCGGCTTTTGCCACCCGGAAGAACGTCTATTATTGTTGTGACGTCATGGTGAATTGTCGTATTGTGTGGTGTCATCACATTTTTGAACGGATTTTTAGAACAGGTAAGTTAACTCAAAAATGCAATTTCAAAAATGCATTATCTTAGAACCTCCCTTTTGAATGTAAATTTCAAATTACTTGACAAAAAATTACATCCTGAGAAAAGTGGATTTCTGGGAGTGAAACCCCACAGACCAGAGCCATGTATTGAGAGAGTTATGACAGTCCCGTAGACCGCCATTGTAACTCAGGAATGCGGAAGTAACGCGTGTCATGGACCCGCCCATTAGTTCCAACCACTGATAGTTCCAGCATTGAACCCCATTCATTTTCAGTGCTTCCGATGTCCTCTCGCTGGTAAATTAATGAAATTACTGTAATTTTTACTTTTACACACATTAGCCGACCTCTCGTGAATCTAGTCTGTAGTTATATGTTATGTAGCCAGATCTAGTAAATGTTATTGGAAGATAATAGGTTAATTGCAGCGATAGCTTACGTGACCAACACTTCACTAACGTTGTTAGCTAACTTATGGTTACCTGATGTATATATTTTTTTCTAACATCATATAAATATAAATAAATATATATATATATATATATATATATATATATATATATATATACAGTATATATATATATATATATATATATATATATATGAAGAGTTCAGATGCAAAAGCCTCTAAGTGCCATTTGAAATTTTCTTCTAGAATGGTAATTTTTATCAAGCTTGTATATTTAAGTTCAGTGATTTCACTTAAATGGCAATGATAATTACCTATTAATTGTTATTTAAGTGAAATTACTGAACTTAAATATACAAGTTTGATCATCATTAAAGAAGAACATTTCAAATGGCATTTAGAGGCTTTTGCATCTGAACTCTTCATATATATATATATATATATATATATATATATATATAATATTAGATATACATATACACACACACACACACAATTGATTTATTTAAATGGTTTAGGGTTATGCATGTGTTTGTGTAATGTATATAGGCATACATAATATATATATATATATATATATATATATATATATATATATATGTGTGTGTATGTATGTATTTGTGTGTGTTTTCTGATGAATGGTTTAGTCTATGAATAGGGTAGGATGAAGGGCTACATTAGCCACTGAATTGAATCCCAACAGTTATGGATCATATTTAGGAACAAATATTAACTCATCATCATCATCATATCTTTATTCAGGACATACATATTAAATGGTCCATAGCACTATAGAAAATAAAGTACATTCAAAATAGAAAAGATACCTAAAATTTACCGAACATTACTGTAAATATGGTCATTGCTACGTCATGGGAGCAGTCTATATCCCTCCTAAATCATTCATTTGTACATGCACAGCGTAATTATTTATATTTTACGCAGGGGCGTGGTAGTGGGGGGAAAAGTGGACCTGACTACCCAGGGCCCCGTCTAGGGAGAGGGCCCTTTGAAATCCCACCAATTTTTTAAAAAAAATTTTTTTAAACCTAATTAGAATTAATTGGGCCCTCCAATTGATGTCATTAATAATAATTTTTAAAAAAATATTGACCAAAATAAACTCAGTGCCAGACACTCTGGACCCCCTTCCAAATGGTTTAGTCCGCAACGCGTCGACCGCCCATAGACGCAGCGGGCGGCAAACAAGTAATAACGCAGTGAGTCTAGAGCCTGTAACGGGAGCCTGATCTGATCATGCTGTGCAAAAAGCCCAAATCGGGCTTTAAAAAAAAGAAAGAGAGAAAAGAAAAAGATAGGAGGCAGAATGCGGGGAAGCAGCTGATGACTGCTTTCTTCCCAAAAGGTGAACTGAGTTTGCTAACGTTACATCCAATTAAAGTTAACGTAACTTAGTCAACTCCAGACAGCTGCTGCTAATGCAGGGTTCCAGACTGCGACCAAATTGGTCTCATATGCGACCATTTTTTTGAGAATTTGATTGTGCGAGTTAAAATTGTATGTGATGTGGTGGTCGCGTCGCATATATACGAGTGGACGCTCGCGCAAAAGAACACCGACCCGTATCAGCTGCTGCAGACTGCAGTCCGTAACTTATGTTCAAAACGAACGAGTAGGCTACATCATGAATCCATTTTCCAAACCGTGTTTTTGACTTATCCTGAATCACTACGCCTGTTATAAGTGTTTATATTCGGACTATTTTACTCGGATGCGAAGTTGCCCAGTGACCGCGTGACTCGCCATAGACATTAATGGAGAGAAGTAGCTCCGGCAACAGTGTTCTTCCGCAAGACACATAGACGTCACGCGCGCATTGCACACTGATGGTGGAACACGCCAATTACGAATTCATGAATAAAAATATAAAAATGATAATGTCTCAGGAAACAAATTATTACAAAATGCAGGAGGTAAGGAGTGTGAGATTTCTGATTTTTGAACTAACTTATAAAATTTGATAACGAAAAATCTGTTTTAGCTTGTTGTAATACTCAAATGTAATGTACATTTGAATGTTTAATGATTTTTAAAAGATAGAAATATGATGCTAATAGAAAAATGACAGACACAGAAGATTATGATTCAAATGTAAATAGATAGATTGAATGTAATTCAAATGTAAAATTCTTAAAATTACAGATTCAAATTACTGTCCAAAATCCATGAAAATCCTGAAATTTGGCAATGATAATTAATATATTACAGGTATTTATGGTAAGCCTTTGCTGGCTTTGGTCCATTAAAACCACTATTCATCGGCATGCATTGATTAATCCCATGGCATGTAGCAAAAAAAAAATAAAAAATAACCGCGACGAAATCAAATGCTGATGCGACCAACTGAGAAAGTTGGTAGCATCAGTTTAACCTGGTTTCTGAGGGCACAGTTGTCTCTCGTGTTCTTGTGTTCTCCTATTTAAAAATAAATGTTTTTCATTTAAAACTTGCATCAGTATCATGGATCAAAATGTTAGTACACAAAACCGATGTAGCCTAAGGTTTAAAGGTATTTGAGCACAAGTAGGCCAAATGCATCAATTCAGGTGGTGAATGAAAGAACCAGTCATTACTATAATCTGATTTTATTATTTAAACACTGTTTATATTTGTTTATATTCAAATAATTAAAAAAATACATTTCATTCAAAATTGAATTTTCACTTTGCTAACCAGCATCGTACAATGCCATGTGTAGGGGGCCCATTGACATTGAGAGTGTACAGGGCCCAGAATTTGGTGCTACGCCCCTGATTTTACGTTGGTTGTCGTGATTGTTATCCTGAACGGGCCACCGGTCCACGGGTCTTTGCGTGATCACGGTAGGCTAATGGCTGAATCGGAATTTATAAGCAAGATCACGGGAATCAATAATCTACATCCCAGTTGTGCAAAAATAAATATCATGAGACGTCCATCATCAGATGAATGACATGGAAAAGTTAAGTTAGAGCCGCTAAAGCCAGTGCAACTACCAATGCGAACATAAACACAAGCTTTTCCCTCCAAAAATATAGCCTAAAAAACATCTAAGTTGTCACCCTGCCTCTCCAAATGCAACACTGACATTAATCAAACGCAATAAAAGCTTAAAAAGTACTTTGGTGTGCGTTTTATTTTATATTTACCGTTTAATAATGCAATCGCTGCTGTCTGTCCATTGAAGAACATGACAGCCCGCGTCTGTTTTGGAACTATTGGGGCTTCCATGAACCACGTGACAGCCTTGCGGCGACATCAACCTTTCATTCTGAACTCGACCGCGAGCGCCCCCGCATGGACAGAGACGTGTTGCGCATGTCAACGGCGCCGCCATATTGCGGAGGGCAACAACATTCCCATTTCCATCACAACAGTAGTTGAGAAAAAATGCCTTCTTCGTGTGCTGCTTGGGGCTGTACAAATCGCCGCACAATTGAAAATAGGTCACGGGGAATTACATTTCACAAGTAAGACTTTACATTTTTCTGGCTGTATTTGGTCATTATATTGGCCACCAGATTTAGACAGACCAAAATAACGTTAGCTGGCTTGCGGTGTCTCTAGTTAACTTTGCTGTGAAGACACGAGTTGACGTGATTTATAGTATAGTTTTAGCTTATATTATATTTTATATTATGAAATACATTTCCTGAAAATCTAAATATTTTCTTAAAACCGACTTTTATGACAAGTAACTTACGGTTACGTTTCTTACGGTTGTGAATCTTCTTACTGTAACGTTAGTTAGTTAGCTAGTTGGCTAGCTCACTTTTCTCACACTTTAAAGGTTTCCCAAAGACAAAGAGGTGAGGAGACAGTGGGAAGTAGCCACACGAAGGCAAGGTTTTTCCGCAAGCGATTTCTCTGTGCTATGCAGTGAGCACTTCGAGTCGGATCACTTTGACAGGACAGGTCAGACTGTCAGGATTAGGGATGGAGCTAAACCATCAGTCTTCAGTTTCCCTCCTCATCTACAAAAAGTAGGTTTGTCATCACTACATTATAATGATTTAATATCTTGCCGTTAAATGGTTATTTATTTACATTTTTATTTCCTTTTTAGCCCGTTGCAACCAGGACTACACAAGCCTCAAAGAAGGCTGAGAAAAGTCTGTTAGTGAACTGTTCTCAGCATTTCCAAGAGACTGATCCTCCTCTGCCTAATGCTGTGAGTATTTTTTTTATTTAAACCCAGAAGAGCTGTGAGCATTATGACCCTGTTCATATTCAAATCACTCTGTCTCTCACAGAAAATGACATTTTGATAAACTAATAACAATTTTTTGTCATAATTTACTGCCGTCACATCAATTAAAGAGGAAAGCACTCACATTTTCAATCAGTCACATCAGGTATAAAACAAAAGAACAACTTTACCTGTTACGTATGTGTATACGTGTATGTGTATGTGTCTGTGTTTGTGTGTGTCAGTCAGGTAAGCATATTCAACACAGCATGTTAAAAATGCAAGTATAACATTGTACTAGCTATTCACCAACCAACTGAGATTGTGCAGGTGATATAAATATTACTCAAAACATTTTCATCCTTCTTTCTAGGACCACACCTATGCATTGCCTGCATCTCCCACTAGTTTAAAGGCCAGACTCTGTGAAGCCTTGGCTAGAGTGGAGAGTCTGGAGCGAGAGAAGAGGAATGTGAAGGACCGAGAACGGAGGGCAAAGAGCACTGTACGTGATGTTCTGGAGGATCTGAAGGGGAAGAACCTCATAAATGAAGACTTGAAAGAGAGGCTAAATTTCTACTCTGGTAAAAAAAACAATTATGCATAACTTATGTGTACACTTTCCCGTTGTTATTATTATTATTATTATTTCCAATATTATGCAAGAACACTTATTAGTTAGTCTGTTATAACTGTCACAATGGATGGACATGCTTCTAATATTAACATGTGCACCCAACTTGGGTGCCAGTTAAAGGGATTTTCTGATATTTAGAAGAAAATCAGTAACCAGACAGTTTCTGGTCTCATTGACATCCATAGTAAATTTTTTTTCCTACTATGGAATGGAAGTCAAAGAAACCAGAAACTGTCTGGTTACTGATATTCTTCTAAATATCCGAAAATCGGCTGAACGCATTTGAAAACGGTGAAACTCAACTGTTTAACTCTGGGGGAGTTGTAAAATGAGCCTATTTCCAAAAAAAGTGGAGTATCCCTTTAAAGGCAAACTCTCTTGTGTCCTTAAAAACCTTTTTCGCACATCCAGTGACTGGTGAGAGGGTGTTTGTGATGATGGATGCCTGCCACATGTTGAAGCTGGCTCGAAATATGTTGCAGGCTTACAGTCCAATAACCAGCAGCACTGGTCAGATCAACTGGACATTCATTGCTCATCTAAATGAAGTTCAAGTCAAAGATGGACTACATGCAGCCAACAAGGTAACAGGCAAGCACGTGCATTTTGATTCCCAGAAGATAAAGGTGTCTTTGCCTGCACAGACACTTAAGTCGCTCAGTCGCTGTAGCTCTGCGGACATTAAGAGACCTTGGCTATTCACAGTTTAAACACTGTGAAGCAACAGCGAAATTCATTGAGGTAATACAATGCAAAAATGGTGATGAAACAAATGCTTTCTTTTAATGCAAACATATGCTTTTAGATGATTGACAGGCTTTTTGACATAATGAACAGCCGCAATCCACATGCCAAAGGGTTCAAAATTCCCCTGGGTTCTTGGAATTGGACTGATAGAGTAGAGTTCTTGTTGAGAGCCAAGGAATTTGATCAGTTTGGTGATGAAAGATGGCACAACCTTTCATCAATCAAAGAGGTTGTTTAGAATTGTCAAGCTTCTGTTCAAGTTAATGACATCAGAAGTTCATATGATGCTCTTGTTCTGATCTTTTCACTGTCTCTTTTTGTTTCTGTTAGAATTCTTCTACAGGTGAAACAATTTGAATATTGTGCAAATGTTATAATGTAGATTATTATGGCTTACAGCATATGAAATTAAAAATGTCAGAAAAATAGAATATTACATGAAATCACTCAATTTAAAAAAAGGATTTAAAATAAAGAAAAGTCTTTGGGGTTGGTTTGGGCCCATTTTGCATGAATTACTGCCTCAATGCAGCTAGATAAATTAACTTTTGCACGACATTCACATTTTTCGAGATTCACCTGTATGTTCAGTAATTTTTCAGTTCTTTCAGGTGGCAAATTGGTAAGTGTGTATTTTTAGCCTTTCCAGGTCTGTTCTGAAATTGTTCCTAGTTGGCTTAATTTCTTAGAGGTAAATCATTTACTTAAAGGTTCCTAACCCTGACACTAATTTACAATATACTCTTGAGAAGCATACAGTAACTTTGAGTTACACACCGTCTTTTATGTACAGGGAAAATATAATTACCAACCAGAGACATTGCAATGGTGTTGGTTTCTTGGGAATTGTCCCTGAATGTTTTCGTTTGCCCTCAGTCTCTCTAACTAAACTGTTCTACAAGTCAAAGGAGCGAATGTTTTATCATTAGAGCTAGGGCTGCACAATTAATCGAATTTGTAATCACGATTACAATTATGGATGCCACAATTATGTAATCGTTCAAAGGCACAATTACAAAAAGTCCACTTACATCATTCTGTGTACTTAAAATGTTTTTTTTTACAGCTTATCTTAAGGGTTTTTTCCCCATTGTTTTAATTTTAGTTAGTGTAATATTATAATTATAAATAACATAAAAAAACACTATCTAACATTGTTTACTTAAAATAATGTTTCCAAAATGTTATTAGTGGTTCATCAAGTCGTAACAGGGTGAAAGGCACTTCTGCCGTCGCCTGACGGGGTCTGTATCACTTTTACTGGCACTATGTAACTTCAGGGTTCGGGTAGGAACCCGACCACAAAAAGAACTACAAAATTCGACTGCTTTACATCAAGCACTACAATAGTCATTATTTCGTTTTTCTTCGTTTCTGATGTCGCAATACATCATCCTCTCATGAAATCATGTAACATACTCTACTTTGTCTGTGGACATCGTTCATTCTAAAGCCGGTGCTGGATAAACAGCGAGCGTGCGTGCGACGGTAGGCTAAATTATTTACGACAGCGGCAATGGACAATTTCGTTTCCAACCAGTAGGGCGACCGAAGAGGAAAAGTTACTTGGTGTTGCTTTAAACCATAGAAAAGCATTGAACATTTTTCAAAAGTTTTTAGCCGTTTTATTTTGATATAACAATTTGCATGTTGTCACTTCGAACAATGGCATAAAGCTGTTCAAAACATCATTCAATGTAAATTGTGATAATCGTAATTAATAATCGCAATTATAATTTCAAGGCAATAATCGACAATTATGATTTTTGTCATAATCGTGCAGCCCGAATTAGAGCTATCTATTGGTTACCACGATGGCATGTCACTGTGTTGTTCCGCCACATCAATATCATTTACAACTTTCAGTCAACAAAATTACATTGTGCTCTCTTAAGTGTATCTTGATTTTGCCATGATCATACTGACAAAACATTTCATTTTTAAGGTACCTGTCTGTCATGGGGTTCATCATCAATATCGACACCCTAATGTTGATGATTCCTGAACAATTACAGTGTCAGCGGTACATCTGCACTTACCGATTTAGCCAGGATCACCTGGAGCTCCTCTTCAATTCAATCAGGTAGGCATTTCAGAAATGTATAAATTATTAAAAATATATAATCTAAAAAGAGGCAACATATATGTATTAAAGGAAGAGCTGCATGATTAATCATAACAAACAATATTGATTCAAACACCTACTACACCATCTTATTCCTAAATGACAATTACTCGCTTTGTCTATTAAACCTTTGACAAGTAGGATTACTGCAAAAAAAAAAATCGTGACTCATCCAGAATCACACATTTTTTCCAGAATTGTACAGCTCCAGTTTACCCAAATTCAACTTTGCTGGTAGTCACCATCAGGCCAAGATGTATCTGATTGTCTTTATTTAATGAAGATTTTTTTCATATACATCTTAGATGGCGTAGATTTTCATGTGTGTGTGTGTGTGTTTATTTTTGGTTTTTAGGGGGATGGATAACATGGATAACAATCCTACTGCAGGTCAGTTCCAGGGCATTTTCCGGCGTCTCATGGTCCGGTGCGGGGTCTCTCCAAGCACATCAGGGAATGTGGCACCACAGAATGAGACCGTGTGGCTATCAGCTGTCGAAATATCATCTCTAGCAGTAGATATGAATCTGAGGAGCTTCCATCCCCTTTTGTAAACGTTTCTGCACTTGTGTGTGACCACAGCTACCTGCCAACCCGCTTTGGTAGCCTTGTGTACATTTCAGGTTTTGTAGTGCGTCAGATTTTGAGAAAGCTTGCCTGTGATGTGTGCCGTGCTAGCTTGGTGGCAGATGCTGTACCTGCATCTTTTGATCAGAACTACCACTTGCTTTCACTGAAAAACAATGGAGGGCTGATGATTCCTTCTGAGGGTACAGTGAAGGTGGTTAGATCAGCAGAGCGGTTTATTCGCCGGTCAGAGTTTCTTTGATCAAACAGTTTGTCAGAGCTGGGATTGGTTCTGATGATGGGTTTTCTCTCAAGGAGCACATACCGGAAACACAGTTTGGAATTGACAACCATAATTTTTCTCTCTTTTCATTAGTTTTGTCTGTCTTTCACAAAGTGAGGATGCACCACATTGCCAAACTTAACACTCTGACACTACTGCTCTGCAAAGCAGTTCTTTTCAAAGGGTTTTTTAGCTCCCCTGTGACCTTACAAAGGGTGAGTGATTATAGATGATTGATGGGTAACAGAAATGAATCATTTTCTATTTTTATTATTGTATTATTCTGCAATTAAAATTACAATACATTTTCTATTAATTATTTTTATTATACCACTTGCGATTATCAATCTATTATAGTTATGGTGTTAAATTATTATACTAGTCACTATTTAACTTATTTTTTAATTGTATATATTATTTAATTGTATTATTATTATTGTATATGCTATTATCTATGTATTATTGTACTTGTGATATTATATAATTATACTATTCATTATTATTTTATTTACTGTATACTGTTGTTACTGTATATTTGTTTTATTGACTGTACACTAAACTATTCACTATTACTTTTCAATTTCTTATATTTATTATATGCATTGCACAGTGTAGCCTAATTGTACCGTCCATATCATAATAGTATAATTAATACCATAAGGATCCATCAGTTATCTTTTTTATTGTATATTTGAAGTATCTGTAAATATCAAATTTGTTTAATTTTGCTGATTTGTTTTATTTTCTCAATGGCTCAATTCTAAGCACAAGCTAAAATCGGATTAAAGACAGAAAATGCTTTTTCCACACACACACACACACACAAAAAAAAAAAAAAAAAAAACCCGTTATTTAATATAAAATGAAAATTAAATTATATCCATCTCAGTATGGGGGTCTTGCCCTCCGCAAAATGGCGGGCGCGTTGACGTACTGCCAGAACCCCCGTCTGAGAGCCTTAGCGCTTCCCGTTGTGTATCATCTTGGTTGCAGTTCCATTAGAATTCCACTGGAGGTGATCGCGGGCGAGTGCAGAATGAATGGGAGTCTATGGGGCTAAACGGCTAAATGTGTCTCTTTCACCTGCTTGTCGTTAAATCAACATAGATTTTATTGTTGATTCCGCAAGTTCAATATAGATTATAGGTCAAAGTCGAGTGAACGTGTACTTATGTCCTTTTGATTTCTTACAGGTTAGGCCATTGTTGGCCGGAACACGCTAGCATTCTGCTATTGTGTGAGGTCATCACAGTTTTGAACGGATGTTTAGAACAGATAAGTGAACTTAAAAATGTAATTTTCAGCTGAGTGTATTATCTTAGCCCTCCCCTTTGAATGCAACTTTAAAATTACTTGACAAAAAATTACATCCTGAGAAAAGTGGGTTTCTGGGGATGAAACCCCATTGACTCCCATTCATTCTGCCCTCGACCGCGAGCGGACAGAGATGTGTTCTGCTTCAATGTTCCGACCAGGTTCCGGTTCCGACATGGGCTAGGAACCTTTGTGTACTGATTATGTGTCTGGAGGAAGGTATTTTCATTCCTCACGTTGTGCTTCCGGCACTTAGTTTTCGCTATGGCGATGACTTTGAATCCAGGGAATATCGCGGGGGTTCTGCGGCTTCTCAGGACCGCTGGAGCGCATTTATCACAAGCCACGACCAAACGTCTGTATGCTTTTTTATACATCAAGATAAATCGTCAGCACAAATCTTTTTTCTTGTTATTAATGTCCATGCAATGTGCCATGTGAATTTTTTCTTCAGGTCGTTATCAGTTTCAACTTGTTTTAGGGAGTAAAAACATTTAAACGTACTTTTATTAAAAGCGAATGTTGACTTTCTGATGTTTAGTTCAAGAGCATATGAAGAGTTCAGATGCAAAAGCCTCTAAATCAATGCCATTTGAAATTTTCTTCTTTAATGATGATTTTTATCAAACTTGTATATTTAAGTTCAGTAATTTCACTTAAATAACAATTAATAGGTAATTATCATTGCCATTTAAGTGAAATCACTGAACTTAAATATACAAGCTTGATAAAAATCGTCATTAAAGAAGAAAATTTCAAATGGCAGTTAGAGGCTTTTGCATCTGAACTCTTCATATTGTAATTTTTCAGAATTATTATCCACAAATGTCAACATTAATCTAACGTTACAGTATGATTTGCATTGATAACACCACACAAACATATGGTACCATAGAATAAAACAGGAGACATTTCTAGTTAAAAAAACATGCATAAGTATTGATGTGTACATATGAGGTTAAAGTGTGTATCTACATCCTGTGTCAATATTTTCAAGCTGTATAACTGGCTAAATAGTCACTGTAACTTACAGGTGGTTTGGTTCCTGCACTGACCCGCTTTCAAAGCTCTGCAAGCATCATTTATCCTGCAAGGTAACTTAAACATCTTCCAGTGTGTATGTCTTTTTAGGTCCCTAAATATAAAACACAGGCCTATTCAACTGACAGGTCAAATATGACCCATTTGAAATTATGTACTGGAAACGTATGAATCTAATGTACCATTAGTGCCCACTTTAGCTTATTAATGTCAAATTGATTTCTTTATAATGGTAATATAGGTTATGCACCGCTGTTTGCTCTAACAGATAACAGGGTCATTCAGGGTGATATTATAATCTTTATGACAGCTTTTCATTGACAAAAAAAAGTCTGGTTTGGTCTGCATTTTGTTTGACTTGAAGTTGAATAGCACTGACTTGAGATATTTTGATATATAGCATAATATTCTTCAGGTTGACATGCATCTTATTTACGTGTAATTCATGTTATGTATCTTTTGTACCCGCCCATGTGGTTGTGTTTTGAATGATGTACAGTATGTGCACTACAGTGACATCAGGGGGCCTAACCTAGTGTCTTGTGCTTTCAGTTATGTACCACCGACATCACTATCCAGACCGCCGTGGCCTGAGCTACCAGTGTTTGATCCTGAAGAAGAGAGGAAAAAGCATCAAGGCAAGTGCGCTGGTCTGAGCTAAACAGCTAAAGTTGAAT